CCTCACCTAGAGTACTGCGTCCAGCTCTGGAGCCCTCAGCACAAGAAGGACATGGACCTTTTGGAGTGGGTCCAGAGGAGGCCACAAAAATGATCGGAGGGCTGGAGCACCTCTCTTATGAGGACAGGCTGAGGGAGTTGGGCTTGTTCAGCCTGGAGAAGAGAAGGCTGCGGGGAGACCTGATTACAGCCTTTCAGTACCTAAAGGGGGCCTGTAGGAAAGATGGGGAAAGTCTTTTTAGTAGGGCCAGCTGTGACAGGACAAGGGGTAATGGTTTTAAACTAAAAGAGGGTAGGTTTAGACTAGATATAAGGAAGAAATTCTTTACAATGAGGGTGGTGAAACACTGGAACATGTTGCCCAGAGAGGTGGTGGAGGCCCCATCCCTGGAAACATTCAAGGCCAGGTTGGACGGGGCTCTGAGCAACCTGATCTAGTTAGTGGTGCCCCTGCTCATTGCAGGGGGGTTGGACTAGATGGCCTCTAGGGGTCCCATCCAACCCAAAACATGCTATGATTCTGTGATATCGCAAGGCTTGTGGTTAAGACTGTTTAAAGAATAATCAAAGGGTGGAAGAAGAGCCAGGAAAGAAAAGGGATGTGTGAAAAAGCCAACTGTGTAATCTCATAATTCTATAATGTTGTGGTTTTATAAACATGTGGCTTTCTCATGTACCTCTGCTGCTGTGGAGACCTGGCAGATCTTGGCTGTGTAATGACCTCTGAAGACATACAGGTGCTCTGGGTAGTCGGTATTTACCAGCATAAAGGAAAACTAAAATTGTATTCAGACTGAGCAATGTGTTTGGTTTGCCAGTTTCTTCAGATGTTATATAGGGCAGTAGGTTTGTATTTAGCTCTGTCAGCAAACACATCATATTCCTGAACCTTGCTGCCAGTTTAATGTAAGGTTGTTATTAGAGTTGTAACAGTTGACTTGAGTGAAAAACTGAGGAATGGAAGGAGTGGCTTGTTGCTTGAGCTTTTAAGTTGTTCTGAGCATAAGTCGATGTAAACGTTCTTAATAGGTTAATGTTCAGCTTAAGTTATTGATAAGCTTGTAGCTGTTGTCAGTACAGATTCATTTAAACTTAACTTTTTTCTTGAAAATCAGTGTTTGCATGCTTAGAACTAAAATATTTAGTGGGAGATGGACTGAGAAAGGTTTGTCTGTGGAAACATTACCCTGTACTTTCCCTGCTCTTGTACTGTTCAGAGAATCAACTGCAGAGCACTGTTTTATTTGCCTTTGGGACTAGGGAGTCCGGTGCAAGCTGTTGTCAATAGTCTCTAAAGCAAAAAAAAAAAAAGTTCTGAAATCTCTTGATGTTGATTCAGCGCAGAGCAAGGCCAAGGCCTCTCCACTGTGTACTGCGCACTGATGATGGAATACAAGGCTAGATGGATGTCTGGTGTGATTTGGCACAGCAGTGCTCATGGCAGGTGCTGTGAGGTCCTAGGGTAATGAGCAGCTGTAACAAGACCTATCTATCTTCTCATTTTCCAAGTGGAGAAAGGGGATGCTGGTACAGAAGTTAGAACCTGGATTATAACTCAACTCTTTCTAGTGGGAGTACACAATACAGAATTGGAGATATTTTTGGTCTCTATAAAATTAGATTCTAAAAAATCTTGTCTATGCTATATGCAGTAGTTTAGAGGGATCCACATTTACATTTTTTTCTTTATTTGCAGCCTAATGAAAAAAAATAGGGAGATGAGAGGAAAGCAATCCTTTGCTTTTATATATAAAAAAAGGAAAGCTAAATATAAATCTCTCTTAACTCTAGAATGTCTGATAAATTAAACTAAGCAAATTCACTTTAGCTACTTGCCTGACTGCAGGCTCAAACTCAGAGCTTCTCAGGTCTCTCTCTGGTCATAATCTTGCTTGAAATCAAGTCCAGCTTTCATCATCTCTAAATTAAAACAGCACCAGCTAAATCATGGATCACAAGTATTGGTGGTGACATCCAGCTATGAGTAAAGCCAGAGCATTCCCCTGTGTAGGGATGTAATACCCTGTGTGAAGGCAGAGTTCAACTTCAAAAGGTTAGAAACAGTAGGCCTTGACATGCTAGATTGAAGTGGTGAGGCAGAAGGGTAGTCCAGCAGTTTTAGAAAGAAGGGGGGAAATGGGCATATTTCTGAATCTGACAGGCCTTGTTTATTTTTTTGTTTGTTTTTTCTAGGTAGAGTAATGGTGAATTCCAATAGTGAAGGCCTGGTACCAGTGATGACAAGCCCCCATGCTTTAGGGTAAATCATGCTGGAGGAGGTATCAATGAGCAAGCAGAAGGCCCAGACTTTCTCAAGAGCTTTGCAGAGGGAACAGTAGGACCTTGTGTCTTACCCACAAGGTTTCTGATGGCTGATAGGAAAAAGAAGCCCAGCAAGAGCATGTTCTTAGGGGCAGTTTGCTCATAAGACAGGCAGGCAAATATTTAAAGAATGGAAGATGCTGTCAAAACAAAACCAAGGGTTATGTTCTTGCCTGCTTTGTGAGTCACAGTTTCTTAGTTTTGTTTTCCTGCAGTGACTTGCTTAGTTCTTTGCAGTAAAGTTTTCCTAGATTGCAAGTGAAGGTTTTGACATGTTGAAAATGTTTCCTTGATTCTGAATGGAGAATGCAACAGTAATTTGACTTCTTGGTTTTAGTGTTTCAGGTTCCAAGTACTCTTGTTTTTGCGATGTATCTTAATGCTTGCAACTCAGGCTTATGGTAATACGTGTATATAATAAATCTCTGTCACTTTATATTTCTAGGTCCACTGGCCTTCTTTCCTCAGTGGAAGCTGAAACATTATGATGTTATTGTAGGTGTTTTGTCAGCTCGACACAATCATGAACTGCGCAGTGTTATAAGGAACACTTGGTTCAAGCACCTGAAAAAACATCCTGCACTGAGCCAACGGTAATATCTAGCGTTTTGTAATTTGGGGCTTTGTAAGGGAGGGCGGGGAAAGACTATAGTGCTTAAATATCTTGATGTAATAATTTTTTTTTTAAAGTATTTATTTTTTTTTGCTTTATCTGTGAGCATCTTTATTCTGGTATTTTTTTTAATATGCTTAGTAATATATAAGAATACTACTTGTTCTAGGCTGGAACTATTTTTTATACAAGGAATAAAATGTAATTGCTTGACTGTTCACTGCTGTTTGGTTTTGCAATTAGTTGCCACTGTTCATTAGTAATGTATAAGACTTTCCCTTTTTTTGTGTTGCAATGTACACTTTGTACAGTATGCAACTTGAAGGGCTTAGTAACCAGGATACTTGAAAGCAGGCAGGATCATGTTTGGTGAGAGAACCACAAAGAACTCTTACAACAGCCTCAACTATAAAGCTCAGGTTTATTTCCTACTGCCCCAGGTGCACCAAACTGCTCCAGTATGAGTGACCAGCAGAACCCTTCCTGGTTGCTTGCATAGACCTGACAGTCTGCAGACAGCTCTATTCTTGCTGAGAAAATTCTGCTGCAGTTCATTCCTGGAAACATTATCATCTTGATAGGCCTCACATCTTGGTACCCACCTTGCACTAAAAGCCCTTTACTGTTCACAAATTTGCATCAGCGTGCGGTTTGGAGTAAAGCATAGTTACTTCAGTCATCTAAAAATGTGACTTTTCATAGCTTGTTTGGAGTTCCAGGAGGATATTTAGCTGCTAGGTGAAAGACTGGGCTAAGGTGGATCCTCTTGCTCTTCGTACTGCTTGTTGTCTCCTGACTGTGGCACAACCATGACTGGGGCTAGAAAGAGCAACCTGTTGTTTTGCTACAACCTGAAGTTGAGACATTTCATTGTAACTGATTGTCTGGAGTCCTTGTTCCTCCTCTGATGCTATGTGTTGTCTTCTAACTATCTTTTTCATTGTCTTTTCAAACAATCTTGAATTAATAACAAAGCCAGGCAGGGAGGGGCAGGGCTTCAGGATCCTTTAGTGTTGCCTTAGGTCTTTTTTCTGTTTAGTGTGCTGGCTGTCTTGAATCCCGTTCCTAGTTGCCAGTCTTCCTGTGCCCTCATTATGAAGTGTAAAAGGCTAATGTGGGTTTGGAATTGAGCCCTTACGAGGGGATTAATGTGATTGCTCTACATAGAGACCCTCACTGCTGATTTTTAAGGTGTTTAAAATCTTAATCCTGTGAAAGATAGGCCATTGTGATGAAATACGTTTATTGAAAGTGGAGGGATGAAGGAAGAGAACTGGTGTTAATAAAACCAAATTATTTTAGTGTCCTTGTGAAGTTTATAATAGGTGCGCATGGTTGTGCTGTGCCAGTGGAGGACAGAGAAGATCCCTACTCCTGCAAACTTCTGAACATCAGTAACCCAGGTACAGAAATTAACTTTTAAAAATTCTCTTATCTGAACTAGAACTAATCAACTTTCATTATGAAAGTAGTTTGGGGTGCTTAACTGAGACAGCCAGTCTTGAAAATAAATGCCACCTAGAACTTGCTGTCTTAACAGTTCCATAACGTTCCTTTAAGTACCATGTGCAGGCAAGAAAGTGAGATATCTTTGGGAGTTTGAAGGGGAGGCTGTTGACTTCTAATGGATTTGCATTTTACTTGCATTGGGGGACAGTCTTTCCCATATAACGTATGTTTTTACTCAACCCACATGTAAATGAAGTTGGACAGAGCTGGAATGACCAGGTCCAGCAGTCATGTGTGAAGACAGCAGCAAGGCACCATGGTCTTGAGTGTCAGGTAGACTTCTCTGGTGATGAAGTGAATTCTAAGCAAGTCCGGCTGATGGGTTTTTCAGATTCCACCCTAGAGAGGGAACAATTAAGAAACGTACCATGGAGAAAAAATGAAACACTGCCGTACAAAAATTCCTAACTAAAATTGTAAATTCTTCCTGTCACCTTTTTTTTTCTATTTAATTTTTGTTCTTTAATTGCAAGTTAACTAAGGACTGCTTGGCACTTAAACTATGATTCACCATAAAATGAAACTTCTGTTACTTTCTCTTTGAATGGCAACATGCACTGCTTAACCAATCTCCCACAAATAAATGGTACCTCAGGGCTTAGGAAGGAGATAATGCCAAAAAGCAGTCAGCTGAATTAAGTGGAGGTGTATGCCATTTTGATACATGAATAATTATTTTAATTAATATATAGATATTCATGCAATCACATAGCATTTTTGTCTTCACTCTGTGGATTTATTGTGTTTCTAATCTTTTCTCAGTCTGTAGCCAGTTGTATTTTCTCCTCCAGCATTTGGTTATCCTTGTGCACTTGCAACCCATGCTAATTGACCGGAATGCTTTGCGTGTACCCAGTGTGCTTTGTGTGTATCCAGTTCCAGAACTGTGAAGTCTCCTCACATTACCTCTGTCCTTTCTTCTTCATACAGTTTTGAATCAGGAAATTGAAGCATTCAGTCTCCCTGAGGACATACCTTCTGTGTTATCTGAAGACAGAATCGTCAGTGTGAACTTCCGTGTACTTTACCCAATTGTCATTACCAGCCTTGGGGTATTTTATGAGGCTGATGGGGTGGGATTCCAGAGGAACATCACTGTAAAACTGTACCAGGCCGAACATGAGGTAGAGTATTGTAGTTATCTTTTGAAAGTGGACAAAAGCATGTTGTCTCTTTATTGTGGATTATGTTCTTACAGAAAGCGACACCTTGTGTTGATGATTTAGAAGTACTTAACTGATGAGCATATGAATTATATTTTTTCTTCTGTTGCATTGTAAATTCTTATTTCATAGGTATACACACATGCAAAAGATGAAAAGATCAAATTCACAGAGTGCTATGAGTTAATTTAAATGTCCTTTTGAAAGAGCACTTATATCTAATTCTAAGACACAATTTTGATTGCATTTGAGGTTCTAAAGTAGCAATAGGTATTAAGGAATAAAAAATAAACTGTTGAATATATTTAAAACACATGTGCAGAAAGACACATTGGTGCCTTCAAGCAGAGGGATGCAGGACAGGTCTAATTTTTTCTTGTTTGTCAAGACATTCTGAGACTTCTAGAAACTGGTATTATTTACAGGTAATAATCAAATTTCAGTGATAATTCCCCCCACTCCCAAGCTGTTATGGGTTTGATAGAATAGCTTAGTACTAACCTGGAAGAAAAGAAATCATTGAGCACGACTGTTGCATTTGGTATATTGCATTTATCTCTAATAGTAACTTGATAGGCCAGTTTCAAGATTTCTGGATATGCTACAGTAGAAAGAATTTTAAATTAGAGCGAATAATTAAAAGTTAGTACAGAAAATACACTTAAGTATGGCTTTTATGATTAACTTCCCAAGAGTTGGGTTTATAATAGTGCAAAAAAAAAAAGTATACTGTAATCAGGTTTGTTTGCTAAATGGTAGAATTCTAAACTTTGAGCGCCTAATAACTTGATCATAGAATCATAGAATGTTTTGGGTTGGATGGGACCCCTAGAGGTCATCTAGTCCAACCCCCCTGCAATGAGCAGGGGCACCACTAACTAGATCAGGTTGCTCAGAGCCCCATCCAACCTGTCCTTGAATGTTTCCAGGGATGGGGCCTCCACCACCTCTCTGGGCAACATGTTCCAGTGTTTCACCACCCTCATTGTAAAGAATTTCTTCCTTATATCTAGTCTAAACCTACCCTCTTTTAGTTTAAAACCATTACCCCTTGTCCTGTCACAGCTGGCCCTACTAAAAAGATTTTCCCCATCTTTCCTACAGGCCCCCTTTAGGTACTGAAAGGCTGTAATCAGGTCTCCCCGCAGCCTTCTCTTCTCCAGGCTGAACGAGCCCAACTCAGCCTGTCCTCATAGGAGAGGTGCTCCAGCCCTCGGATCATTTTTGTAGCCCTCCTCTGGACCTGCTCCAACACTTCCATGTCCTTCTTGTGCTGAGGGCTCCAGAGCTGGACGCAGTACTCTAGGTGAGGTCTCACCAGAGCAGAGTAGAGGGGCAGAATCACCTCCCTCGCCCTGCTGGCCACGCTTCTTTTGATGCAGCCCAGAGTACAGTTGGCCTTCTGGGCTGCCAGCGCACATTGCTGGCTCATGTCCAGCTTTTCATCCACCAGCACCCCCAAGTCCCTCTCGGCAGGGCTGCTCTCGATCCTTTCTTCCCCCAGCCTGTATTGATACTGGGGGTTACCCGGACCCAGGTGCATGACCTTGCACTTGGCCTTGTTGAACCTCATGAGGTTCACACAGGCCCACCTCTCCAGCCTGTCCAGGTCGATCTGGTTGATCTGCATTAGCTTTTTACTTCCAATGAAGGAGAAAGATTAGTATCATAGGAGTGCTTGGAGACTGTTTTCTGAAGATTGGGAATCTGGCAATGTGGCATCTTTATGTCATTTGTCGTTATCGAAGAGCTGTTTGGTGACCTATGTAATGCAGCAGTAATTAAGTTTTAGGGGTCAGCATCCTCTGTTGCAATTAATAGCAGTCAGCTATTTAAACAGAAGATAGAAAATCCGTAGACTGGGAGATGAGTCTGAGTCTTCCAGTTGATGTGCTTTGTTGGTTGGATTCCAGCGGAACTTGCACTCCTGTTCCATTGTTGCTTGCTTCCACCGTATCAGTACAACACTTGAATTCTGTGGAGTCTGTGAGACTGTTGTGAGAATAAAACTTCTACTGAGTTTGATACAATCAATAAGCCTCTTTGCATTATAACTAACTGAGGTGATCAAGATTTGCGTAATCTGTCGGCACTTTTAATGTGTGTTTTGCTTCTTTTTTTCTTTTCTGTTGTTCATAGGAAGCTCTCTTCAGTGCTCGCTTTAGTCCACCAAGCTGTGGAGTGCAGGTGAACAGATTGTGGTACAAGCCAGTAGAGCAGTTCATTTTGCCAGAGGTATGTGCAGTATTGGAACTTCCTCCAGTTCTCTTAAGTCAGTCAGAGAGACTGACTGATAAAACTGGCCTTTGCTTGAGGGAGAAAAGGGTGAGTGAAAAATTCTAGTTGAGGGGGATATGCTGAAATCCAGGATTTCTTTTTCACCATCTCATTATCACCAGTAGCTATAAAGCAAAAGCCTGAAAAATATGAATTTATTAAAAAATTACATTGGCAAATAGTAGCAATTTCAGAAACCTTTTCAGTTTCTTAGTGAAAATTGTACCTGTTTTGTTTCTGTGGGAGAGTTTACCAGAGAATGGGATGCTTGTTTCTCCCTCCTGCTTTTTCAGACATTAGTACACAAGATAGGGAGGGGAGGATGGCACAGGTTTCGAGGGAAAAGAGGTTTCTGTTTCTGATGTCGTGGACATAACAGCAAGATATTGTGTGTTACATTTGCAATGACAGTATTAGTTGAGTAGTTGTAATCAAGAAGTGCTTACTTGAGGGCTGCTGAAATTTTGGTTATTCCTTTTCTGGCAGCACCAATGTTTGTTCATTGAACTGTGCAAGGAAACAACAATTAAAACCTCAAGAAGATCTGTAGTAATTTCTATCTGCAATATACTAGAGTATGTGGTGCACAGAAGGCTGACATTTGGGTTTTTAAAATCCATCGCCATCCTTTTTGTGTTTGTTTTTTAAGTGAGTGCCCCTTAGAAATTTGGGAGAAGGCTGCTTTTTGGGCAGCAATGAAAGTGTTAGCATTCTTGCTTGTCCTGAAATACCATTAGCGAAGGTAACGAGTAAGGGTTTAAAGTGGGGTTTTTTTATCTTCTTTGGGATTGGGAGTGCAGTCCCAGAGTAGGGTTTTGGTGTAGGGATGTAGAAGCTACTTGTGGCTGCTTAAGAAGGAAGGTGATTAGACACAGAATATAGGTAGGAAAAAACCTGATATTGGTACAGTGAAGGTTTAGTGAACACAAGTTGACTCAAAATGAGAATTCTAGTTCAGCAGACCCTCCCAAGTACAAGGAATTGTTCCCGGTGGACCAGTCATCTCCACTGGATATATCAGCTGCCATCTTAGGCTGTTGCCCTTAATTTAAATATTCTCCATATGACTGGACCCTTGCTGCTATTTCTGTAAGTTGTCTTTGGGTCTGGGTTGTTTTGTTATGGAAGAAATTAAGTGTTTTACAAAAGAGTGGAGCAAGGGAAGACTGAAGGGGGGGGAGGAGAGGACACCTGGGGCCAGTTTAATCCTGATTTATTCCCCTGGCTCTGTTAGAATGAGTGCATTTGGAAAGCTGCTCCTTTTAAGGGGAGTTTGCAGCTGATTAACTGGTTTATCATCTTAAAGCAGTTTTTACTGAATACTATGCAAGTTTGTTATGCTGGCAGGCAACCTTTTGGGTGAGCAGACCTCTTGCAGTATTTTCTGTGTATGTTTTGACAATCTAATTTGATATCAAAATGATTCAGGGTTTTTTTTTACTTTCTAAAAAGAGTATTGGTTACCCAGTAATTTGGTAGCATAACATGTAAGCCTTTTCCCTGTAAGATTTTGATCTGAGATACTAAAATTCTAGGCAGTTGTAATTTTGCTATAAGTGATTGCATTTTCCCTGAAAGGCAGATGGGAAGTATTTCATTTATAAAGGGAATATTAGTATTCATATATTTCTTTGTGTGGGCTTCCTTAATCTGATACGTGTCACGCGCTGAATGCTTACAGGATAACATGATGTTTCTAATGTAGATTAATAGGGCTTATGCACAGCATGTAGTCTCCTGTGATACTTAGGATGCTGAACCATACAAGATGATTCAGAGGAGACAGAACGCCCACATGTTCCTATCTTCTTATTTGAGAGCAGTAAATTTAGTGAGCTGTTTAATTGTCACAAGATGGTTTCTGAGACAGTATCTATTCTCTGCCTTTCCACCTTCAAGAAGTAATGGATTGCTGAAGAGCTTCATTCATCTTTCAGCTGAAGTGCTG